ATGCAAATAGGAAAGAAATATATTTGGTGCTATAAATTTCTAAAATTAAATCATTTAAATTCCTTTCCTTGTCATTCTTCCTATAGAGAATGAACTTTCAAGTGAACTAAAAGCATTCTTTAATTACAGGAGTGCTGTGTACATTGGTCATTAACTCTTTAGATATTATAAATCAATGTTTAATATATTTTATGCTCTCCATCAGGGTCTTACTCAAAACCCTGCTGTGAGTCAGTCAACACTTACTGTCATATGTGGGAGATTTGAGACCTTCTCTAAGATGCTTCAGTGGCTGGTGCATAAGGCACCTTCCTCTATTGCTTGTGCACATCTTTTTGCAAAGATGGCCTGTTTTGTTCAAGACTTTGATCAGCATCTGTCAGCCTCCAAGTCCTCAGAGTCATTTTATTTTTGAGCATGATTTTATTAAATCAAAATCCCTTATTATATTGTGTTATTTTAGATTATGTGAGGAGGTGACAGGATGTCAACAGATGGAATAGTATAGTGACAACTCAAAAAGGCAAAATAAAAAAGCTTATTTAGACTGTAATTTGTGTCAAATTTATTTGATCTGAATCATTACAGACCAGAATATGAGGACACAAAAAAGCATGTTTTCTCCCCTGTTGCAATCTAATGCAAATGTGAAGGAGAATATCATTACGTCTCACATGGTGAACTGGAGCAGAGAGGAGAACACTCTAATAAGCTTCAGTGGAATTACAAGTCAGCATAAACCCATCTTGAACCAGTGGTATAGCCTCACTATAGACAGTTTACAGTAAGCATTAATAAGTGCTGATACACTGCAATAAAAAGTTGCTAATAAGGCAAAGACAACTAAAGTTGCAACTAATCTAGCAGTGATGGGTACATCACCAGGAGGCCTCAAACAAATCAGCTGCAGTAAACAAAGAAGTGGTCAACCTCTGTAAAAACAGAAAAGCCAGATTCTGATCTGCAAACCGCAGACACCATAATTAGAGTTGAATGCAGGAACAAACACATAATAGAAATAAGCATGTAGGTACTTTGTGTTCTCTACAGGTAATTGAAGGTACATCCAAAGTAACCAACCTGGCAATGCCTGAAGAAGGAAAATGGCTATTTTTTCATCAGCTCTTCTTTGTGCACTACAATTTTTTCACAGCAGTTACACAAGAGGACCTCATGATTAGATGAAATAACACTGTTAAGAAATTATACTCCTGAACAAAGCAATTGAAGGAATGTCAAGTAAGCAAGATCTACAGGATGACATTCAGTCTCTGCTTTTCCTGGTGCTTGAAAATATTTCCCACATGACAGGTTGCTTTGGTCCTTTTCCATTCTTCATAGCCCGAGGACACAAAAAGCAAACAAAACCTTCATTGCTTTATATATATGAAAAGCCAAATAAATAAGATTTGATCGTTTTCCCCGATGTGTCAGCAAAACTGTTTTCAGAGGGAAATTTGCACAGGCAGATTCTTCTGGCTCAATGTGTGTCTTCTTAATCATATTAACATGGAAACATAAAAGTTCATAAAGCAACACATTCTCCTTTAGAAATAAAATCCACACGGGAAAGCTAAATCCTGAGGCATTTACTCTTTTTAACAAAATTTAATATTCTGCCAGTCTTCTATTGAAATCAAATGGAATGTACTGGAGTAAAGCATTTAGGATTTACTCAACAGTGTGAGCTAGTCTGAACACACTGGCATTAGAAAGACTAATTAAGCAACTTACAGTAGTATCATTCAGTCCATTTTTTTTTTACTTTGAAATTCATATAAACATCCAGATCTTTTACATTCAATCTACTGAGAGAGATGTTTCTGATACTGCACATCTACACATTAAGTTACTGGAGCTAATTATAATAAAAAATAGATTCCAAGAAAGTAACATTTTTGAAAGAACTTTTGGTTCTGGGTCCTTTTGTTGGCCTGACCCCAGTCCTGTGGACTGTGTCTGCCTGGACATAGATGGTCAATTGTCTCCATGCTTAGCCCAGTGGAAAAGGGGAAATTCCTGCTACACTCTGGATTATCAGCTGGACACATATTCCAGGAGCATGGGGTAGCTTGGGGATTAACCCAGCTCACTCTCCTGGCCAGACATCGCACTCTGGAAAACAGGCTGCACTGGAAGGCTTGTCTCTTCTATCCTTCTCCTCCTGGTGCCATCTGCACTTCCAGTCATGGGGAAGGATTTGCATTTAGCATAGGGAAGAAAAAAGCCGTGTAGCACATACACTGCCTACCACTCGGGAACTCTCAATAGCCGTAGACTGGCAGCATCCAGTTGCTGGCAGCATTCCCACCTGGCCCCTACTTATTCCTACCTTGATACCTTCTCTCCCAAAGCACACATGATACATAGTGACTCACAGTGTTCAGAGTCTATAGCGGCTCAGCACAGCCCTTCCATGTGGCTGGACCTCATAGGCCTGTTTTTTAGCACTCAAAAAGAATCCAAAATGCTCAAGATCTAACAGGCATTTTACAGCATGTTTTGGACCGTGTTGAATCAACTGTCCTCATGGATTCTAACCATAAACAAAGCATTGCCAGAAGACCTTTCCTCTGAAGTTTCTGGTTTTGTTTTCTCAGTCTGCTTTTTTTATATTAATGTTTTTCAGAAGAAGCATTTATTCCTATTCCATATAATACAGGGCAAAAAGAGGAAGAAAAGTGGTCTTGAGAGACAAAAAGCTCCACTCAGCCAATTTTAGGTCATCTGGATGTGTTAAAATAGTTCACATTCATGTTTAAAAGGTAGACTCCAGGTTTTTTATCACTCAGAGTCATATGTGCAACAGCACATATGTCTTAAAACTCAGACTAGGATATTTATTGTCTCAAGTAAGTAATTTGAGCTTTGTCTTATCTGAGAAAACTTAACTTTGAAGTGGATATTTTTGCCTGTGTAGTAGTGGCAGATATCTAGCTGCCTTCACCATGGAAAAAGGAAACGGATAGTAGGCAATTTGAATATATTCTGAATGTTTCTTGCTTCCTGCACACATGGTGCAGGGTTGGCACTGCTGTGTAGGTTTGGACTTCCACCCTATTCTGTTCCCTTCAGCTGACAGCAATGCACTATCTCAAGTGAGACACTTGCACTCAGTACAGACACAGCAACAAGGACACATCCAGACATTCACAAAGGGCTGCAGCCAGTTAAGCCTATTCCTGGAGACTTCATATAATGTTGTTAATGCCCTGGCTTACTTCAGGTAAATGGTACCTGGAAGATCTACTTTGATGTTGTCATTCAAGATATGTATATGTGTGCATCTTGACATACAAAATGTATTCATTTGCATGAGCAGCAACCAAAAAAGATGTAGAGGTGTCTACTGTGAACACACATTCCCAGTATGCTGAGAGAAAAAGTGTGAAATGGGATGATTAGTTATACTTTTACATTATGTGAAAAAGGATGGTTTTGAAAAGGCAGGATCCATTCCCATTAGGATAACCAGGTGTTTTACATATTTGTCAGGACCCTTATGGCTTCTTAAGGATCAGTGTATCTGGGACAATATCAATATTGGCAAGTTATAACATTTCTGGGTGTACATTTAGGACCCATGTAAGCTGTTGGGTTTGTTTAGGGAAAGGAACTGAATACTCAGAAATGAGTTTGAAGGAATCTGAATGTAACCTTTCTTGGATGATTTTAACACACTAGCTGTAACGGTTGTGTAAAGGCCTGAAACAGAATATACCTGAAATGACCTCTACCTTTCCTCAATTGCACCAGAGTTCCCCTGTGTCATGGTTTAAACCCAGTCAGACAGCTTGTTCACTCAGTTCCCCCCCTTCTTGCCCTCCCCCTGCTCCCGGAGGGACAGAGAGGAGAATCGAAAAGAATGCAACTCCCACGGGTTGAGATAAGAACAGTTTAGTAACTAAGGTATAACACAAATCACTACTGCTACCACCAATAATAATAATGATAAAGGAAACAACAAGGGAAGAGAATACATCTCACCACCAGCCGACTGATAACTCCCCCCCCCCCCCAGCCCAACCAATCACCAACCGATTCCTCCTCCAACCCTGCAGTCTCCCAGCCCTTCCGGCTAAATCCCCGTTACATCCTGGGCATGACGTGCTGTGGTATGGAATACCTCTTTGGTCAGTTTGGGTCAGGTGTCCTGTCTCTGCTTCCTCCTGGCTTCCCCTCCTCCCTGGCAGAGCATGGGGCTCACAAAGTCCTTGGCTAAACCAAAACATCCTTGTTATCAACTCTGTTCCCAGGCCGAAAGTCAAAACACAGCACTGCACCAGCTACCAAGAAGGAGAAAAATGACTGCTACTGCTGAGCAAAGGACACCCTGACTTCACTAAACTGGTCTGTTTAACTGAGTCTACTTAATCAACTGGTTTTACTTCTTATATATATATATATATATATATATGTATATAAAAATATATATATAAAAAAAAGAATTTATATATCATTGTATATGTATTTATATGAAATACATATAAATTATGTATATATATGTATTTCATTGACTTTTTAAAGCTATTGGCTGAAGATCTTAAAAGACATTAAGCTCTAACGTTTTACATTGATATGGCCTTTTCATACTACCTGACATTTTAATCTACTTATACACATCCACTTATACTGAAACTTGATTTTAAACTACAGGTATGTTACACATACATCTTCATAATGCCATATGATAGAAAATCTTATTTTGTTACTCACAGATTCTCTGTTGCTCACTATATTTTACAAATAATTTTTGGCTGTGCAAGAATTTACAGTGTAATGCTTAGCAACATATGTAGTCATACGACTGAATTTGTCTTAAAATGACAGTTCACTTAAAAAGTACAATTTAATATGTATAGAAAAAGTTCCCTGAGGAAAAAAAATAAATAAATATCTCTAGTTATATATACCTCTGTAAATCCTGAAGGCCTTCCAACATAAATTCAGTTTCTCAATGAATACACATAGTATCACTTATTTGAAAGAAAAAAAAAAAACAACCAGAAAGTAAAACTAAATTACAGTATTAATTGTACATCATGCAGATTGAGTAAATTTTTTAGAAGGGATTATCACAAACTTTGACAGGGTAAGTTTGCTTGACTGTTCCATACATGTAAAGGTAATATAAAACCAAAGCATTTTTTTCAATATTATCTACAAGAAAGAGCATGAAGAGAAATAACAAAGCAGAGATCACTTTTGCTCACCAGCTTGGACGGTGTAGATTTCATTGGCAATTAGAGAAATAGCAACTCCAAATGTGCTTTCTCCCCTGTTCTGGCTTATCTTCACATAGCAACAAAGCATGAACAAAGCTGTTCAATTAAAGGAAACATTAAAAAATACAATAAGTTATTTGCATCATCTCAGTGATTTGGGATTGATGTCTTGTACCTTTTAATAACACAGCTTGGTTTTTCCATCCTCACTGGGTCTCTTGCCAGTCATCAGGCTTTTCCAGCTGCAGACTGTGGTCATTTACAGTTTTATAGACACTAGAGAGGTCTGTGTGAAGGATAAGAAAACACAAATTAGCTCTTGCAGATTGGCCTCTGTCAATGCCGGCTTTGTGCTACAATATCCTCATTCAAACAGTTGGATATATCACTTTAGGCATGTTGTGTCAAAGAATTATTCAGAAAATTACTAGAAGGATGGTTTCCCTTTGTGTGTTGTGTTTTTGAAGCTTTTGAGGACTTCTGAACATCTTTGAAATGCAACACTATATGTGTATGTTGCAAAAGGGAGCGGTAGCCAAGTTGAAAATTTAAGTCAGGCATTTTGTAAAGAAACAACAAAATGCAAATGTCCTCTTAATTAATAGCCAAAACAAAAAGGGAAAGGCCTCCTTTTTACATTTTTTTCTCTTTCTAAATGAAACTGTGATCGTGCAAATTGTATGTTTCCAGTACGCAATAATTTCCTAAACTGTGTGCTTTACAAAGAAATCCCAAAATCTTTGACTTGATTCCCCAAATTTATTAATAACTAATAAATTTCAAACCTTTTTACAGGAAATTTGCCAAAACATGTGGCATTCATTATCTAAATAATTCATTGCGATCTATCCACTCAGCTTTATTATTAATAAAATTTTCTTTGAAATTGTTGAAAATCCTATGGATTTTAAATTAGTTAGATTCTGAAATTTTTAGAAGTGTCTGTGTTATTATTCATATTTGACAGTGTTGAAACTGTCTTTTCCTGGTGGAATCAAAGAAAATATTTTTTCCTCTAAAAGGAGTGACAATCATAGTAAGCCACCAAAACATCTACTGCTCTATAGCATTAGCCTAAATGTTCGACATCTCTTGCAGACTGGATCTGACAATCATTCCTGTTTTCTTTGAACCATCTCCCTCTTCCTGTCTCATAACAAAAAGGGGAACATTTGGCAGGAGAGGGGTGTTCATTTGACATGGACTGGTTCATTTTACCCATAACATATTACATCATTCAAGATAGATAGTTTCTAGAAAACACTATTTGTAAACAGATACCTGCATCTACTTAATTAACTTTAAACTGCATTCATTTTATGGAGTGTAATCAAGATCTCATTTCTAGTACCAGCATATTCCTCTGCTTAAGTAAACCCTTTACAGAGAAGCATAAAGTTAAATGCTGTTCTTAGGGATGTTTTTCTCAATTGCGGCATAATAACAGACATGGCCCAGACCTTGCTCATTTTGTCCAACTCCTGACTGTACATATGAAGACCATATATCTCCTTGGAAAAGCGTTTTTGTCATAAGTGGCTTTGTATTGTCATAGAAAGTCAGAGACCTGAATTTAGCACTCCATAAAACACTACTAGCCTGGTATGCTCTGTGCTAATACTTACGTATAAACACAAGACAAAAGTCACTGTAAATACAAACATTTGCCCTTTGCTTCTAATACGTCTCTTTTATGAGGTTTGAATGTCCAGTAATATCAGAACTGAAAACCTTTAGATTTATTTCTGCATGGAATGAAAATGCTTCTTCCTAGAGAGTTTTTATTTGCTTACCTGGATCTTTCCATATTTATGAAGAGCGTTCTGTCCATTTATTGAGTTGTTTCCTGGCATTAGAGGTCAGAATGCACTGTCAAATGAGGAGGGTGGGAACATCTAAGAAAAAAACAAAAACCAAAATACAAAAAACAAAACAAACAAAACGAAAACTGAAAATATGAAAGCAGGGGATAAAATGGAAATACTAAAGAGATATTTAACATTCCTATAAAATGTAGCAGGTTTAATACATGACCAGTGTGGTGATTCAAAAAAATGAAGAGAGAAAATCATATACTTCTTTGTGAAACCATTCTTTTCAGGGTTTTCACAGTCTCTAATATTAATTATGTAGTCAGATATGGTATTTTGATATGTGTGGACAATTAAAAATTCTTAGTTTGTACTCTGAAGGATGCAATTTAACATTTAGACCCTAATTTTGCCTCTTCTCCCATTGTTAAGACTTTTATGTCAGAAATGAGATATTCTATCATGGGTAAAATAAAACAGCTACAATCAATCTGCAAAGGGAGAAGTTATTTATTATTTTTTTCTTTCAAACATGTTGTACAACTGCATAATATTCTTCTGTTAGAAATTCTGTTGCAGTGAGAAACACAATAAGTATTGAACAGCATAAACCAACATGCCTTGCACTATACATTTCTATGAAATTCTGTTCTCATTTCAAATTTTTCTGTTCAGTTTGACAAACTATAATACAGCATTCAGCTTCATTTTCCCTCAGGTGGGTATAAACTTTCTACTAAAATAATTTAAACATGAAATTTGGCTGATAGTGAAAAATGTTCACAAAGCCATTGATACCACAATCATAAATTTAAATGCCACTTTTTGAGTAGATTTCACAGTGCAAGATATACATTCAAATAGCCTGAATACTAATGTGAGGTCTCCGCTACAGGTTATTTTTGATAGCCAGGTTCTTTCCTACAAGATTTTAGCAAAATGAAAATACCACAAGGCATCTGTGGTGATATATTCCCTTTAAAAAAAAAAAACCTTTCAACTGAGTTTCACCTATTATTTCCTTCTGTATTGCACTTTTGTAGTATTTTTGTAGAAAATCTTTAAAAATGTACAAAATGTACAAAAAAAATACCATACTGTATGAAGATTCTCAACTATTTCTATCTAAAAGCCTTGAAAACGCAATCCATTTATTTATCTACCCATGTTCTTTGTGCTGGCATTGTAAACTGTTGTTGTAATTAAGTTACTTTCTACAGGTTTTAGGAAAACATTAAAGTAGGACCAGGTTAGGAATGAGAAGTTCTGTCTTATTAATGAGTTTTAGGCAAGTTCTATGGAAAACAGTAGTTTCTGTTGTTATTTGCATAACATATGTTGGAGCTTGCTGAGCAACTTACGTGGAACTCAGTCTGAAAGTAATTAAGAATATAGTATGCAGTAAATAAAAGTTCCAAGTCAACAATTCATTTCTCTGCTTTAAAAAATAAAATCACTAACAGGCTTCACACTTGAAAGTTTATAGAGAAGCTGATACGAGTGGTATGATATTCCTTTCACTGTTCTTTACATGCAGCAGAAATGTAACATGCCAGTCAAAAATCTATTTTGTTGCTTTTTAGGACTGGCCAGACCTATCATATATGAAACCACCAGACACCCTTATTCTTTGGATGAAAATCATCTGAACACCTTTGCCTGTTCAGGAGCACACAAATAAGCCTGTAACACACATGTAAAACATCATTATGGTCTAGAAATAGCCAGAGAATTGACTCAACACTTTACAAGTGCTAATTTTAGTCTAGTGAATGGGATCACTGGATCCCATACAAATAAATAATCCTTCATGCAAACAAGAAAAAATTTGTCATCACAATAAGTAACTGCAGGGTTTCTTACAGATCTTTACAGAATTCACAGGAAATAAGTCATGAATATTCCTTTAGATATTCAAAAAATTACAGTCGGGGTTCAAGATTTGAAATACACACATTCTAATCTTTCCAGCATTGGATCTATATATAATCCTAATTTTATTTTATTTTTTCCAGATAATTTTTTTAACAGTTGAAGATGCCAAATTCTTCAGTTTCTGCAAATGTATAAACTGCAATCTAGTAAGTATTCATTACTGGGAAAAGGAAACTGCGGCAAAGAAAGGTGGGGTAGTAATATGAATAGTAGGAGATTCAGATATTAAAACTATAGATTTTATGCAGGCAGCACCTCCTGTGAATCCAGCACTCTTTTATGAAAGTCCAAAGACTTTGAAATATAGTAAACTAAACTGAACACAAACAGAAGGATACATACACACAAATAAAAACAACAACAAAAACAGTCCATATTTTTGTCAGATGAAATCTGCTGTGATTGCAGACAAGGTCCCAGTATGTTTTCTGCGTTGCTCTGCGTGTCTAGAATTAGAAGATGTAAATACCATCTGCAGATTTTACTGCTTGGACCCCTTGAACTTCCATAATTTTATAGCCAAAAAAGGAGATCTAAAAATATTGAGAAGCATCCAAAATTATCGGAGGAATGTTTAAGATAAAATAAATTAAAAAAAAAAAAAAGAAATAATTCATAAGACCAATATATTTCAATTACATAAGGATATTGGTTAGGAGAATTATACTACACTTTTATCTCTTTTGTTACAGCTTTGCAAGGAAATTCAAGAAAATCAGTAGCAGTTAAATACATTAAGTAGAATTTTGCTCTCAGCTGCACCAATGTAAAATGAGGCGACAGCACTGTTTTCAAAAATGTTATTCAAAACTTCATATGTTTCACTGTGAGCACACATGGACTAATTATCATTACTACACTATCATTAAAAGCAAACACACAAAGTCTTGAGTGTAGATACTGACAAAACATTTTTTGTGAGTTGATTTTCCTCTCATTTGAAAGGACTGAATTACAGAAATATATGTGTACTAAAAAGAGGTTTTCATTAATAGCAGCTCTCAGTATTTTGAGAAAAAACACTGCAAGTTTGCTTTTAAAGTATTTTTACTTCCTTTTACGCATTTTTATGAGTTTTATAGAAATAATCTTTTATATTTGTAACAGTGATGTTCATGGCAGCAATTCGTGCACATGTGCACTCTTCAGAATGCACAACTAGGAATCTGAACAGGTTTTTAAGGACAAAATGCTCACACAATCCTCTCTAAACTTTTTGCATCTACTCACACAATGCAAGGGATGAATTAACAATCATCAATATATTTCAAACAACCCATAGGCTGAAATATGATGGAATGAAGAACCCACTGAATTATTGCAAATATCAGAGTTGGTGAAAATCAAAATGTAAATTATAAATAGAAAAGATTATTCTGATGAAATATATTAAAGACAAATAAATTGGCCATCCCTATTCTAGGGATATGGATGTCATCCAAATCCTGTTCCATATTTTTCTGCCATTCCAAATACAAAAGAATGAAATGAATGCAGGTGATTGGAAAAACACATTGAATGAGGAAAAACACTAAGCTGCTTCATAAAGATGTTGGAAAGTAAAGTGATTAGGAAGCTAAACTGAAAGCCGAAATGACCTGATTTTAAAACTGTAAGTTGTTCAGAATGGCAGTCCAAGCAAGGCTCAATAGCTACAGGGTTTGCTTTTTTCTCTCACTTAGTTATTCCCACATACCTGATAGTGGCCTATGGAATGTCAGGCACCAGGTAAGAATAAACCAAATGGCACAGCTGACTTTCTGGAGACCCATGAAGCTGCTGTGCACAGGTGACTAACACTTAGCATGTAGGGATAACAGAAGTGTGTTTGGATTTCATCATTCACACTCTAGTGGAAGAAATTACCTTCTAAGTACAGAGGATATAAAAGTTAAGGAATCATTATCAAGGAACTTTAATAGACACTTTCAAAAAGACTTGACAGGAGAATTCAATGAAAAATGGAATGAAAAAATTTCTATAAACCCTTTTCCTTACTCAAGACTCAAGTTCTTTGACCCAGGAAAATTTCTACAGCATATAAAAGTGGTACTACATTAAAAGAGAAAACAACTTCATTCACTCCAACCGGTACTGTATGTCTTTAATGAAACATAGTACAAGGGGCACATCGATGCTGGTCAGAGCATTTGATCTTTGGAAGTGAACTGACTGGTTAGTCTTCTCATAAGAATCAGGCAGTATCTTCACCCGTATAGAAATCTATGAGTGACAAAGAATATCAAAGGATATTATTTGTTAATGGAGTTGGTCACATGTCACTGCCTGAGAGTACAAGCCCTAAGAACATGAGAGAAGATATTCCAAGTCTCTGAAGAGCCTGAACTGCATATTAGCGTGAACTATTCACCCAATTTTTTTGCTATTGTTATCATGTAAAGCGACTAAGTCAGTACATGAACACTACAGTTGCACCTATATGTTGCTGGATAGTCCTCCAAAGTCCACATGCAGGGAAGGGCATCTGTATAAATACATTTCCTTTACAAGATGGGAATCCTACTAATGTTGGGTAAGATCATATAACTTTGCTTACACAGCCTCTCTGTTGGCATATTGTCTCAGCTTGAATCCTTCTTACTACTATTAATCAATTTTTGAGCAAGAGGATTTTGAATGAGGTGTGACCTCCTTTGCAGATGATGGACAGAACACAAAAATTAAGACTCTCATATTTCATTCTAGATCTTCTCAGAGGACTTACACTGAAAAAGAAGCACAATAAAAATACGAAGTTTTGTTGAAGCCAAAGTGATTTTTTTGAAACATACAGGATTTCCATAAAGTTTTCAAAACATGAGTTCTTGGGCTGAAAGGGAGAATCATTAAAATACTTGTTTGCCATTACAAAATTGCATTTCAGCATATTCAGAAGTTTTAATAAAATTTCATGCTGTGATGTACACAGAGAAGTATTATAAGTAGATTACTAATGTTTGCTTTATTTACAATGTTATGAACATGCTAGTCCATATCAAGTGTGCTGAGACTGTAAGAGCTAGGAAGAGCCAAGTGACACCTCTACAAGACTACACTCTTTGTTAGGATGCTTCCAGTTCTTCATTACATGTTCAGATACAAAACCTTTCCCCTCAGAATACCAGAGCTGCTTCACTGCAACTCTTATACAGTGGTAGGGTAGACATGCTCTCTCAGGAGCTCAGTAGGGAAGAACTATTTTTTGTGCAACCAGTTTGGATGAAAAGATATTAAAACCTGAGATGCCCACAACACAGCCTGACAAGAAGGAAAGGATTTCATTTCCTTGTGAATGGAAAATCTAATCAGTAGCCTTCTCAGGAGGAACAAGAATGGCTTTAGTTGAACGTGCTGGATGCTTCTCCCTATTGGGAAGACAGCTACTAAATCCTTATAATGTCAAAAATACTGTTAGCTTCATGTACATATCTATATTATTGAGCATGTATGTCTGCATGTGTAAGAGAACATCAGTTCCCTACCAAAGGCTTTGAACATATTAAGGAGGCAATCACAGCCAAGCCTATCAGAGGCCTTTGATTTTTTCGTTTTGCAAAAATAAACTCAACATATGGATTAAAAAGATCACCAGCACTGATAACACCACAAATTAAAAGTAAGTTATAAAAATTTAGTGGTAAGTTACATTTTCTTCGACAGTTTCTGAACCACAGAAAGGCTTCCTGCAAAGAAAGACGTATTCGGTCCTCAAACCTCCCACATGAAACCCATCATCATAAGGCAGCAGTTGTCTCTACCTTAAATGAATACTGGATTTTCATCTGAGCAGTAACATGAGACCTCATAGCAGCTTTCCAGTACCTGAAAGGGGCCTATAACGATGGTAGGGAGGGACTCTTCTTTAGAGACTGTAGTGATAGGGCAAGGGGTAGTGGGTTAAAACTTAAACAGGGGAAGTTTAGACTGGATATAAGGAAGAAGTTCTTTACTGTAAGGGTGGCGAGGAACTGGAATGGGTTGCCCAAAGAAGTTGTGAATGCTCCATCCGTGGCGGTGTTCAAGGCCAGGTTGGACAGAGCCTTGGGTGACGTGGTTTAGTTTGAGGTGTCCCTGCCTATGGCAGGCGGTTGGATCTAGATGTCTTAACTTCTAACTATACTATGATTCCATGATTCTATGATTATTTTAATCTCTTTGGTGTAAGGAAGTGAAGATGATATTACGGTGACTCTATTGCTGTATCTCAAACAAGATTTGGAAAAGGGGATGGTTTTCAGATGTGAAAGTCCTCAGTTCAGAACAACAGACAAAATTTTAACTTTTTATGTGAAAAAAAAATAAAAATAGCCAAGCATTTGAAATCTGAACTTTTAAATAAGTCTTTTAAATATTTCATCTTTTAGCTGTGCAATGTCTACAGCAATAAGTTTTTCAATAGTCTTTTAAATGGTACTAATCAGGAATTTAAGTCCTAATTCTCCTGGAACTGACTGAAAAACAATAATACCTAGCAGATTGTAGACACTACTACAAAATTTTAGGCTGGAACTCCCTGGTTTTTAAGATTATTTTTGCATCATTGGTTGGAAGCCAGTGATTTTCAGTCCCTCTTTCAGCAGGAGGTGAAGATCTCATGGAAGAAAACAAGAATCCCTTAATGGGATCCACAAAGTGTGTTTCTTGTTGAAACTACTTGAGTCATTATCTACCCTGATGCATAATGTAATATGTGTAGCACTGAATTACAGGACTAGGATTTGGAGTTTAAAGGATTAAGGTGAACATACATCATACTTTTCAGCACTTACCAAATAATTTGTGACTCTTTAAAGAGTCTTACAAGGTTAAAAAATAAGTTGTACAGTATATTATTGCCTCTAACAATTACATCTCTCCTTTAGAAATGTTTACATTCCATGGCACTTTAGGACATCATTGTCAGAAGGGGTGGAAGAATGCAATCAATAGCTATTAGAAACTGCACAGCATAAGGGCCTAAGGAAGATAAAGTTCACAGGTGCATTGACTGCAACACTACTGCAGTAACAATGTGGTTTTTAGTCAGTGTTGAAGACTTTTAAAAGAGCATTTGTGAGAGACTGATCTGAAATCAGACTCCACTGTCCATTGTCTCAAAGATTGGTGTGAGGAACTGAAATAGGACTCCACCAACCACTGTCCAAGAGATGTGTGGGAGGAATTGAAATAAGACTCCAATATCCATTGCTTGGGAGAAGGGTGTGAGGAGCTGAACTGGGACTCCACCATCCATTGCCTGAGGGATGAGTGGGAAAGAGCTAAGACTCTTCTGTTCATTACTTTGAGGATTGGTGTGAGCTATTATTCCAAGAATTGCTGCAGACACACGTGTCAAAGAGCTGACTGCAAGACCAGGGAAACTGGACCACCAGGAGCCTGTAATACATGACGTGAAGAGCAGAAGTACTCCCCCTAACTCTTTGCAAAAGGGGAAAAGCTAATCACCAAGACACACATCACCAAGAGGCACATTGCCAGGGAGTCGCTGCCATGAGGATGACACCAGAAGGACACCTCCATGAGGACACTCTCCATCGATGACTACTACAGACCCTGAGGGACACCCCCCATGAGACATGGCCATGAGGGCAACTCCACGAGACACACTGCATGGGGTACCTTCAAGGGGACTCCAGAAGGACACCTCCATGAGGACACCCACCTCCGATGGACTCTTGGGGGAAACTCTGGTCTGATACTACGAGACTATGAACCCTGAAGAATTCCCATCACCAATGATGACAATCACAGATCTCTGGAACACTGCTGGATCTATGGTGTTGACTCACTCTTTCTCTATCTTTCTCTCTCTGCACCCCAAATTCTTACTTCATTTTCTACCTTTTTTCCAATCTGTCCTACCACTATCCCCTTTATTACAATAATATCCCTTTTTTACAATAACTGTCTTTTTGCAATTTGCAATAAACAAACTGTCCAATTATGGTATTTGACCTTGTTTGTGCCTTAATTTCACTCTTGGGATCAAGAACTAAAACAGGGTCCAGCACTGGAGTTTTTCTCCGATCGGATCCTGACAGCATTTTGTGAAATAAAATTCACATTTTCTAGTAATTGTGCCATTTAAAAAAGGCTTTCCTCACCGACAGCCCTGGACAATTCTAAGACCATTTAGGAACTTCATTTGCTACTCAACATACATTCCTTTCAAGTACTTCATGCCTTTTTTTAATGTCCTAAAATCCTTGCAAAATCACAGTTGCATTTTTTTTCTTTTATTATTTTTACTTGTTCAGGGCCATGCAACCTAGAAACTATTATTATTCAACAGTTTCTGGTGGGAATAAATGTTTTCCCAGCTCCTCCTTCCACTGCAGAAGGCAATTAGTATTGCACAAAGAAGGTAAGAATCCTTTCATAGGAACAGTGGATATTACTTACCTTGTGTCTGTCTGACATGAGGTGTTCATCACAAAAGGCTCTATCAGGTTTATTGCAGAATTAAAAACTAACCTGATCACAAGAAAATTTTTCTCCTAAAGCCCCATTGGATCACAAGTTTGGTTATATCCTAGGGCAGAGATTCCTGTGCCTTATATTTTTATTCTTGTGTCTGTATCTCTTGACATTCCTCTGCACCAGGAAAAGAAACAGGTACCTAAACCTACTGAGATTCCTGACACCCACAAGTATCTGACCAGGAGACAGAATTAAATACACTGATTCACTACTGACTGCAGACTATCAACCATGCAAGTGTTGCACAGCATGCTGAAAAAAAAGGAAGATAAGTGGAATATGTCAGGAATTTTAAGTTATTTTTCAAAAGAGAACTTATTGAAAAGGGAGTTAAAAACTGCTGGTTTATTGTTAATGAAAAAAAATCACAAAAAAAAGGAAAGAAGCAGAAAAGTTCTATATTTCTTTTGCGATGATATTACCCACCTTTTGTTGTTCTCTTTTCTTCTTCCCAGTCTTATTGGTGTAGATTATTTGTACACGATCTTCTGCAAAAAATGGTTTAAGGAATCAGAAAAATCTCCACAACTTTCCAAATTCTATTTGAAGATGAATAAATGTTTAAGGATTTTTAGGGATTGCAAGATTTTTCACCAACTAGAGCAGCACCATGCAGACATGTCCAGGATTCCAGACATCTGCGTCCCAGATCAGCTGAGATTCTCCGCTCATGCTGACAAAGAATTTATAGGTACTGACTCACAAGTGACCCTGTAAAAGCCAAGCCCAGTGCTCTATGGTAACATATTACAACCAGAATAGCCTTTGAAAGAGCATGTGTCTATTCCATGACCATGCAAGCTTACTGAGAGGATATGGGTTTTCTGGACAAGCTACTAGTAACATTCTCAATATCATGCCAAAGGATCCTATTTATGGAAAGAAACATGAAGTATTATTCCACTATTTTTTTTCTCCATATATTCTGCAGATAAAAATATTTTACACGACAACAATAACATATTTCTTAATGCTGTCTGATGTCAACATGTTGTTTGGGTAACAACGAAGTTTAATTCTTACTAAAGTGCTGCATGATATTTCTCTCCTTTAAAATAAAAATATGACAAGGCCTAAAGCAAGGCTTAGAAACAAACATTTAAATATTCCAGCTCTAACCACACTGCTTACAGAAGGAGTTTTGAATAAAGAACCTCCCTTCTCTCAGGAGCTGCTTTTAACTTTCAAATGAAGCATGACTAAATTCTAGCAAAGCAGATTTGATGTTTCCAATTAGCTCAGAGAGTTAAAAATAATAGTTGTGATGTTATCAGACAGTGGGTTCTGTGAATGGGAGCCACATCCTAACACAGCCTGCATGCTGGCAATAATTTCAGAAGAAACATAAAAATTACTTAATAACATAATTATGCATTCTGATTTTTTTGCATTATTAAATATTTTCCAAAGAACTGCTGCTCATAACCAAGCAACTGAGTTTTATTGTTTGGTCATACCTTTGGCAGACAAATTGACTAATCTGTCTTAAAACAGTAAGCTTCCACAACATTTTCACCCAGGGTCTGATCCAGATTTCTCTGGGAAAAAAACTCAAAAAAAAAGATCAATATGAGCCCTTCCCAGTTTTGTGTATTTTTGTTAGCTTGCTGTAACTTGATTACGAGCAATAATACCAGCCTAGGCCACTATCACCCAAAGCCTAATCTTTGCACTAAGCACAATTGCTGCTATTGGAGACAAGTGCGACAAGCCTGAGTCTTGCACTTTTCCTAACATTTAAAAATGTAAACAAAAAATGTTACATTACTAATGAGTTATTCTCTCTTTAAATTGTGCTTAATAAAATAAAAGACCCAATGCTATCGGTAACGTAAGAATCCTTTGTTCACATGCTGGTTTATTATTACTGTATTATCGTTGGCTCTAGCCTATGGCTTTTTTTGTAATTCTTATTGTTTCCTTGTATTCTCTGTTTATTTTTACAGCTAGTAAAAAACAGGCTCATCCAGGACATGCAGACTGGATTAAACTGAACAAAGCATTTTTAGAGTCAATAAACTAGTTGTTTAGCAGTTGGAGTTTGGTCAATAAAATGGCTCTTGTAAACTGAATGCAAAATGAGTAGGCAGCATTAACATATTTTTTTCAATATTTTTTATTTATTTTTAGTGTAAACACGAAGGACAAAATGCGGAACACAAATTTTGAACAACACACACATATTTTCCTGGGTTTCCTTCCTTGTTGAAAACACTACAATGTTGTCATTTGCACTTGAGATTGTATTGCTAACACATTTTCGACTTCTGTCACAGGAAATCAGATGGTGGTGCATTCTGTTCAAGACTACACAAAATCTAATAGGGTTGCACAGTGTGAGAAAAAGTAAAAAACTTTATTTGACAGAACCTTCATCTGACTCATGCGGTCAAATCAGTACCTGTCATCAGTGTGAATGCCTTTGAATACACAGAACTCAGTAAAATATTCTTTCTTCTAAATTGCCTCAGAAGTAGCATCAATTGCATGAGAAAGTAAATAGCTTTTCAGTAATACTTCTGTTTCCAGTTAATTTCATAACTCAATCTCAGGGTTTTGGGGAAATAAAAAAGCAAAACAAAACAAACTTATTCTGGGTGAAGAAATTATATTTAAGCTGGTGGTAAAATCTGTGGGCCTTCAGAGAGGTCAAATTTTCACCACCAGTTTTTAAGCTGCACTGTGATCTCATTGACATTATTTTGTCAGGAAAAAATTCACAGAGTATTTTAGAAAAAGAGATCACCTTTTCAAGGACTGATTATGATATGGAAATTGGCATGTCATAGAATACATTCTAAGCAGGGTCTCTTTTTTCCAACATTAGTTTAGAAAGATACTGACTTTTCCTTTCTTGGTTTTGTTATTTTTTTTTGCTTTATAGGGAAAGAAACATCCCTCATCCCTGAGTCCCTTCCAAATGTGAAACCAGTTTCAGCCAATAATTTAAAAAGAAACAGCAAATTGTATGCAAGGTTTGTCGCCTGTTATACTCTATAACAGGAGCTGCTACTGTCCTACAGTTTTTCCAGAAGTTTGTGAGGTTTGTTTCCTAACTTTATTGAGAACTTCTCCTATATCCCTGGAAATCCCTTGAAGAAGATGAGGAAGTCCAGCCTCTGAGCAGGAGGACTCCTTATATGGTAGACCTCTCTGCATCTATTATACTGCAGCTGTGTGCAAACCTCTTCCTTATACTAGCTAGAGGAACAGAAAAACAAGTGTAAGCTATACTGTGAACACGTTGTGCTAAGGAATGGAGCTCAGCTTTGCTTAGAACGTGGGTTTGTCAAATGAAATAGAAAGTTGATGAGTCTGAAAGGGGAACTAGGAAAAGATAATCCAGGAGCCATCATTCTCCATTCCTGACGTACATACCACTGTCAGTATCTTCAGGTCTGAGGCTTTTTCTCCTTGAAAAGTAAATACATATCAGACTATTCATTTGGTGATTAACAAGAAAACAACCCCAAACCCAGCACTGTAACCCTTGGAGACTCAGGTATAGCTGCACATTTACTCTGAAAATAGAGATGATCACATTTAATTGCTTCCATGCGTAGTTGGATCACAGATGTGACAGGCACTGTGCCTGACCACAAATTATTAATGAAAAACATTAGCTGGTATAAGTCCTGTTTATGAAAGAGTGCCAGTGGAAAAAGTCACAGGATAGTGGTATCCAGCTACTACACAAATGCCAAGGAAAAGCATATCAACAAGGGCTGAAGTTTATAAAAAGGATGCTGTGCTTTCTGGAATAAAGAGGTTTCTGACTGCATTAACTTACGTTGTTGTTATTTTAACAGTAAATAACTTGCAGACATCCAGATAGCTAATTGGCTGCTGGAGTTTTCATTTGGAATAATTTACAAAACCACAACACAAGATATTATGTAACGATTGGCTGTCCACGAGTATAATTTCACACCACGGCCCTATCTAAGCAAAATATCAGTTGGGCAGACATTGTCCATTTTTCCTCTTGTTTGGCTCCAGGTTAAAGACGTTGATTGCCAAGCACTGGGCTAGGCCTGTTAGTCCACCCCAGGCTCTGCAGGCTCATGTCACCCCAGGGGGAGCCCTCAATAAAGAGTGTCCTGGTGAACAGCTACCCAGCTCCAGCAGATACCTGGGACACTGCTTCCGGCACATCACTGAGGGCTACAGCAATGCACCTCCCCACGGGGTGTTTAGTTCCCATATTGCGTTTGCAGGAAAGGTTTTTAGTAGTGGGGAGGCTAAAGGAGCGGCTTTTGTGAGAAGCTGCCAGAAGCTTTTCCTATGTTAAATAGAGCCAATGCCTTGGTCAAGGCTGAGCTTCTCAGTGATAGTGGTAGCAGCCCTGAGATAGCATAGTTAAGAAAGAGTAAAAAAGTTCAAAAAAACAACTATGCAACTGCAGCCAGAGAAAGGAGTGAGAATATGTGAGAGAAACAGCTCTGCAGACATCAAGGCCAATGTAGAAGAAGGGGAGGAGGTGTTCCAGGTGCCAGAACAGAGGTTCCTCTGCAGCCCATGACGAAGCCCATGGTGAGGGAGCTTTGCCCCTGCAGCGCATGGAGGTCCATGGTGTAGCAGATAGCCACCTGCAGATGACCTCATGCTGAAACAGGGGGATGCCCAAAGGAGGCTGTGACCCCGTGGGAAGCCCATGGCTCCTGGCAGGACCTGTGGCCCCATGGAGAACAAGTTTGCTGCAGGGCTTGTGACCACATGGCGGACGCACACTTGAGTGGTCTATGCCCAAAGGACTGCACCCCTTTTCCCTCCCAAGAACACATTGCTAAGCAAAGAGGTGTACCTGAACTGTTTTCCTCTTCAGTTTATCCTTTTTGCTAACTTTCTGTGCCTCCCTGCTCAGTCTGCTTCCGAATTGCTCCTTATTAGGTGCAGAACTGCGGTGGCTTATGTATGACTCTGACCAGCTGTAGAAAAGCTTCAGAATTGCAGCAAAATAGACACACGGAGGAGTGTCAGTATGCTTGTCTCACTTCCCCTTTTTAACCATCCAGAGGGCTAGAAATTACTAGTTCCCATCCTTTTAGACTTTTGGGGTTTAAATGGAAAAAACTCTGTGTCTATTATTTATCTCATGTCACTCTGCTTCATTGTTTACACTAAGTTTTGATGAAGCTTGATGGAGCAGTAGTGCTGTTGTAAGAAGAGCACAGGCAGAGGTATTTGCCGCCAAAAAAATCCAATCTCACCCCTCTACCTGTCATTTCTACATCTTTTTTGTAAAGATCTTGATCTACATCATAGAACTGAACACATAAATTCTTCACCAGTGAACCTGCTGCTAGACCTGTCAACATGCTGCTCTGCTGGAGAGACTTAAAAGTGCTTTTCTTTCCATAACATGTGCCCTTTATTAAGCCAGGAGGGGAAGATTTCCCAGTAGAAAGCATTTAGTGTCCATTTCCAGCTTTCACAGACTTCCCTCTATAGCTGCTCTTAGTACACCTCTGCCTAGTTGTAGCTGGCAAAGGAAATGACCTGTCAGATTACTGAGTCCTTTTCCTTGCAAGGGTAGGACAGAGTCCCATGGGAGGTAATGTATCAGATACTGAAGTGATTTCACACTTGATTTTAGCCAAGAGGTCAGACCTAATATTTATTGTACATGGCAGTTCTATGACTTTGGCTACTTAGCCGCATTGCAG